GGTTCGGCCTTCAGTTCTCCTCCGCACAGCCCACCCCTCTTCCTCTGGACCACAGACTCTCCGCTCCAGTTCCTGAGGAGTCGGTAGATCCCAGTGGTCCTTACGCTGAGCTAGTGGGTTGCCTCATGTACCTTATGACTTGCACTCGCCCAGATCTCGCATACCCTCTCAGCATCCTGGCTCGGTTCGTGGCCACAGGCAGACACCGACCTCAGCACTGGTCTGCCGCTAAGAGGGTTTTGCGTTATCTTGCAAGTACATCGGGCATGGGGTTAGTGCTAGGCGGACGCAGGCCAGTGGTCCTTACTGGACACACAGACGCTTCTTGGGCAGACGACGCGGAGACGCTCAGGTCTTCCCAGGGCTACTGCTTTAGCCTTGGCTCAGGTGCTGTCTCGTGGAGAGCTACCCGCTCTTCGTCTGTTGCCCAGTCCAGCTGTGAGGCCGAGATCTACGCCGGTGCCATGGCGGCACAGGAGCTCCGCTGGCTGACCTTCTTGCTCACTGACTTAGGTGAGCGGCCTAGCTCTGCCCCGGTCCTGTACGCTGACAACAGGGCCATGATCCTCCTGTGTCAGGAGCCTCGACTCGAGGGCAGAGCGAAGCACATCCAGCTGCGGTACTTCCTCCTGCGTGAGCTACAGCAGCGTCGCCAGGCTCGCGTAGTACACTTAGCCTCCGGTGCCAACACAGCTGATATCTTTACGAAGGCGCTTGCGCCTAAAGATCATCAGCGGCACTGTGTACAGCTTGGTCTGGTTCCTGTAGTCTCTCACTTACTCGGGCCTTGACTTTGTACTGTCCTATATATCTGTGTGTACACTCAGACTGGACTTGTGTCCTCTTACAGTGGTTGGACTAGTAGTGCCGCCCTGTACTAGTTCTTGCCTTGCCTGTACTCGTTCTGACTGGTCTTTTAGACCCTTGTCTCAGAGGCTGGACTAGTAGTGCCACCCTGAGCTGCTTGTCTAGAACATTCCCCTATGCAGTCTAGGGGGTGTGTCAAACATGTTTAGTTATCATGCTTGTATAGACTGTATAGGGTCATCTTCTAGAGAGTACAACTGTTAGGTATATGTTTGTGTACTCTCTTCCTCTCAATTCATCAATTTCACTGTTTGATAAAGTGGTCGAACTTTGGCCAAAATCTGGGTGGTATTTGGCCGAGAGCAGGACTGAATCTTGTGTTGGTTTGAACCAACTTACTCCCTTCTCTTGTACTACTTTAGACCCAACCTGTTCTGTGCCCAGACCTCCATTCACCGTTACCACGGCCCAGACTCCACAATGGGAAGCTTTAAGATGCGATTAAAGAACCTTTATATTAAAATGAAAGATACATGACATTAGATCACCTGTTACACTACTAGGGGCCCCCTTCTCGTTTCCTAACATGCTAGACCTCCTACCACCACAGCTGCTGCTCCCATCAGTGCTGGTAGTGCTCCCGCCACTCCTTCCCACATGCTCATACCATCTCCATTGGCCCCCACACAATCCTAGTGAGACCTATCACTGCTCCTGGTGCTTCAACACTACTCTTCCTCACCAGAGACTGCTCCTATATCCCCTTAATCTACTGCAGATGCTACTACCCCTGCTGTTAGTGCTCCTAAAACTGTTTCAGATGCATCCATGCTCCAACCGGCTCCTTCTGCTGCTACTCCTTTTTCCCCACCAGTTCTCCACACTCCCCAATACAGCTACTCCTGTGCAGTCCACTTCTGTTTTGCTCGCCTTGCTCCTCTCCATCCCATGACTGATTAATTGCACACCACTTTGCACACCCCTGCTCCTATGCAAAGCTATACTCTCGCACACACCCCCGGCCCTGCCCACAGTACTGCTGCTGCTTACACCACTGCTGCTGCACACACCCCCGCCCCTCCATACACCACCTACCCTCCATACACCACTGCTGCTGCTGCTCACACCACTGGTGCTGCTCACACCACTGCTGCTGCTTACACCACCGCCCAGCCACACACCCCTACTCCTGCTGACACCACTGCTGCTGCTCACACCGGTGCTGCTGCTCACACCACTGCTGCTGCTGCTCACACCACTGCTGCTGCTCACACCACTGCTGCTCCCCGCAACCACTGATGCTGCTCACACCACTGCTGCTGCTCACACCACTGCTGCTGCTCACACCACTACTGCTGCTTACACCACCACCCAGCCAGACACCACTGCTCCTGCTGACACCACTGCTCCTGCTCACACCGCTGCTGCTGCTCACAACACTGCTGCTGCTGCTCACACCAATACTGCTGCTTACACCACCGCCCAGCCATACACCACTGCCCCTCCATACCCCTCTGCTCCATCTCACACCACTACTGCTGCTCACAACACTGCTGCTGCTCACAACACTGCTGCTGCTTACACCCCCGCCCAGCCATATACCACTGGACCTCCATACACCACTGCTCCTGCTCGCACCATTGCTGCTGGACACACCGCTGCCGCTGCTTACCCAACGCCCACCGCCCCTCTATACACCACTGCTCCTGCTCACACCTCTGCCACTGCTCACACCACTGCTGCTGCTCACACCGCTACTGCCGCACACTCCTCTGCACCTGCACGCCCCACAAACAACTCCTCCTCCTCGCCCCATTGCCTCACGGTACACCCCTTCTTTGCCAGAGCCACCCATCTCTATTGCACCTGCCCCACTGGGCCCCCCAGAACCCAGTTAACATCTGCTCCCCCTGCACTATCCTCTGCTCTTGCCGCTCATCCCACGTGCATCTCATGCCGCTGCCCATTCTGCCCCTCCTCCCCTCTCATCTACTCCCCCTGTCCTTGCGTCATCGGCCCCTGCCCGCTGCGCTGCTGCCCGTGCAGCACGTGCAGCCGGAGAGTGGGCGTGCTCTGCACATAGGCAAGATAGATTGTCAGACTCTTTCTGAAACAACAAACAGGACCACCACCCACATACACGCGACTTTAACATACCTGCAGCCCCTGCACAAAAGGCTCAAAGTCTGTTGCGTCGATCAGGATGTCGTTGGGAAAGACGAATGCATTTGTTGCGGGATCATACGGAACGCCATGCTGCATGACAGCATGCTCCACCCACTTCTTGCAGCGGGCGCACATGGCCTCGTAATTGTGGCGGTTCGCCTCCCACTTTCCCGAGAGCTTGCCATCCGGCGCCTGGTTCAAGATGGGCCACTCAAACTGCATGAAGATGGGATAAGGTGAAGCAGAGGAAAGGAGAGGGGGGACGGGAAAGCAGGGAGGGACGGGGAGAAGAGGGAGGTAGGGGGGAAAGATGGAAATGGGATAGGGATAAGGAAAAGACATACGTGGATAGGAAATGTGGTGGGGAGGGGTAAAAAGGGACTAGAATCTCGTCTCCCTACGCCAATGCCATTGCCAGCATTGCGGCATGTGCCCACCCTCGGGTTGGGCTGTTATGAGAGACTGGAGAGGGAACATAGGTGGGAGGGAGAAGAGTTGAGGACGGGAAAGAAGACCGGGAGAGACATGATGCGCATGTGTCAGCTTGCAGTGAGGGGATTAGCAAGCACACATGAGGAGATGGGAACCAAGGGGGGAAGTGGGCGGGGGTGGGTGCGATTGGTAGGGGGGAGAGGTTTTGGAGGGGGGAGGGGGGAGAGAGGGGATTAGGGGGGAAGGGGGAAACAACATATCAAGCAATGGAAGGGGAAAGCAGTTTGGTTGAGGGAAGTTCGGTGATGGGGAAAAAGTGAGAGCGGAGAGTTGCTACTGCTGTTGCTGACCCTATTGCCGCCAAGATCCACCATGAGTGCTTACCGCGTACAAGATCCAAGCCAGCTGGCGGATCTTGATCTTGTCCGTGCTCACCCCCCGGCGGATCAGGGCGAGCCGCACAGACACAGCAAAGATGAGGGTGGCGAAGGGCTTGCCATCCTCATCACAGTGCCATATCAGGCCCCACACGGCTGTGAAACATAAGAACAGGGAAAAAACAAATAAAAAGAAAACAGGGAAAAACAGGAAACACATGGAAAAACACGGAAAAAGAGGGAAAAACAGGGAAAAACAGGGAAGAGATGCACATAGGAGGTGAACTAGTATATCTTGTGCCACATGCACAAATATGCACACAAACCCCACCACCTAAAACAGCAACGAAACTCACCGTCATAGTACCGGTCCTTCAGCTCCAGCTCTGTGTAGAATACTGTGGGCGCACGGAGCTCTGCCGGCAACTTCCTGATGTAGCACTTGTTTGCCTGCAGCCCAAGCGCTGTCAGGGCAACCTTGCGCATCACCCCGTTCATTGTGGTTCGGGTTGACGACAGCTGCTAGTAGAAAATCACCCTGGTGCCTGGATCGTTGTGTTCGAACAGCTTACGCAGCGCCTCGAGGACCAATGCCGAGACAAACTCGCGGAACCCGAGGTCCAAGGCTTCCTCCGGGGTTGGGTACAACTGGATGAGCCCAGCGATGATGTTGAAGCACACCCGAGTCACGACACGTCGTGACAACTCCTGGGAGGGCGGTATGTGGGAAGAAGGGTCAAAGTACTTGGTTGGCAGAGTTGGTACGCAAGGAACAGCAGCACTGGAGCCGCCATATTGAGCACATGCTAGAGGAGGAGGGAAGAAAGGGTCACACCAACATATAGATACGCCCATGCATGGGAGCGAGACAAAAGAAAACGGGGAACCAAGGGAGACCCCTTAGGTTTCAGTATGGGATAGCAGAGGCCGCGCAATGAACGCAGCAGCGTTGCATATGCCTGTAAAGAAAAGGGGGATTGTTGGCGACGAATGCCATAATCAGACAACCTGACATGGCCCTCGCCTGTACCGGACATATGGAAGGGGTGGTGGGGTGGACCTGTAGAAGGCCTGGTATTGAAAATGGGAACCAGCACCATTGGATGCGGGAACACAAGAGTAGACAGAGCAAATGCCATGGCCGCGGGTTAGTGGTCCGGGACCCAGTCATCAAGTATTACGAAGAGGAGCATGGGGTCAACTGAGGGGCGAAACACCCTTCGGACTCAATAACACTGGTCAGACACATGGGGGTCCTGACCGGGGGGGGCGGGGGGGGGAGGGGGGTTGGGAGAGAGGGGGGGGGGGGGGAGGGAGGGTAAGGGACTAGCAATTACAGCACGCAGCTCACCTTGAAGTCTGGCACGTTCTTTGCCACGATGTCCCTAGCAAGAGCCAGGGGATTGCTGGCGAGGGCAGGCGAGATGGTGAGGGATGAGGAGGCGGGTGCGACCTCTGCCAGAGCGGGGGCTCCACCGGTTGGGCAGGGGGCACCAGCACATCCGCATCTCCCGCTGTGCTGCGCAATGGCATGCATCAGCCTCTTCTCCAATGCCACCAAGTCCTCCTTGGACGCCATTCCCCTCATTCGATGTGCGTGGCTGTCTGAATGCACCTGTGTTGCCCTGGTGACACCCACTCCCAGCTCCAGGCGTGTGCTGCTGTACGTGCTGCAGCCGGCAAGAGGTCCTGTGGGGGGGCAAGTACGATTCACACGAAAGAGATGGAATCGCATGGTTCAGGTGACACATGTGCTAAGACAAACAAGCATGCCAGGCAGCAAGAGGGCATGGGCTAATCACCTGTGCTAGGGCCAGCGACATCACTGCCACCACAGTAGCGAGGCTTCTTGGCAAGACTCTCTCCCGCCCCACCATCTTCATCAATCTTCCCTTTGCCCTTATCCAGGTACCGTAGGCCAACGCGCCCTCTTACCTTCCCATTCACTTGCTCTCCGGCCGGCCCCTTTTCCTAAATGGACGATATCCCCTTCCCCTTCTCTTCCACCCCTTTTCCCTTCCCATCCCCCGACCTCTTTTCCTTTCCTTCCCCCACATGCTTGCCTGTCTCCCCTCTTATCACCCTACCGTTCTCTACCACAGACCCGTTCCCACACTTAGCCTTCCCTTCTCCTGACTCCTTGCCTATCGCTATCCCCGACCCCCTTCCCTTCCCAGTTCCTGTCCCCTTCCTGTCGCCCTCGTGTGTCCCCCTCCCCTTCCCCTCATTTGCCCCCCTCCCCTTTCCCTCACCTGCCCCCTTCCCCTTTGACCCACCATGCCCGTGTGCCTTCCCTTCACCTGCCCCCTTCCCCTTCACCTCACAATTCCCCTGGCCCTTCCCCTCACCTGCCCCCTTCCCCTTCACCTCACCTGTTCCCTGCGCCTTCCCTCCATTAGGCCCCCTCAACTTCCCTTCACTAGGTCCATTTACTCTCCCCACACCTGTCCTCTTCCCCTCGGCTCTCCTCCCCAACAGGCCATTGGCCAAACCGGAGGCCTTCCCTATAGCCGAATCATCCTTCACCTCTAAACGGCCCTTGGCATTTCCAGCCGCCGACCCGGTCGCCTTTACCCCATTCGAGTTTGCACCCTTCTCTTCCCTGAACCTGCCACCACGCTTTGCCGTCGCACTTCCATCAGTCACCCCTCCTCCCTGCTTTCCATCACTGCCCAACAACCCCCCCCTCTTCCCCTTCTCTGTTTCGTCATGTGACTCCTTAACCCTTACATAGCCCTTATTTCCGCAATTCCCTTTCCCCCTCCCCCCCCGTGCACCGCCCGCGGTGCCCTTAGCCCCGCCGGCCCCCAATGCGTCCAGCAGATCGCGCACATCTGGAGCCGCGCCAGACCGAGCCCCCTCGCCTGCCGACCTTGCATTCATCCCCAGCTGCAACACACTCATCACACGGCCACGCAGAAGTGCCCGCTCCTCATCCTCTTCCCAATCCACCTCCTGCTGCTCGGCCTCCGTGCGGGACTCGTCTTCCTCGCCTTCTCCGCCCTCGTCATCCTCGCCATCCTCGTCATCCTCGTCATCCTCGCCATCCTCGTCATCCTCGTCATCCTCGTCATCCTCGTCATCCTCAGGGTCCTCGTCACCCTCGTCGCCCCCCGCCTCGTCTTTTTCCCCCTCGCTCTCCGATGCCACCTCTTCGTCCTCTGTATCGCTGGGTCCATCAGGACCATCCTCCTCCTCGTCTTCCTCATCGCTCATGGGATCGACATCTTCCGGGCACCCCCCATCGTCTTCCACAGGTTTCTCGGCATCTTCCTCTCCACGGTTCATCGAGCCTTTGCCGCTGGTGGTATCATCAGCAGCCATATCGTCGCCCCCCTCATCCTCGTTAACACGGGAAGGTGGCGGGCGAGACGGAGGAGAGAGGCGAGGTATAGTCCATGTCGCGTCGATCACTTGGCAGAGGTGCTATGCCTCACAAAACGCCTTTTCACATTATGTGGAGCCTGGTGCGTCGAGCATGTATACGTGCCACCACGGCGTCATTGACCTGGCGCGAAGCACATAGCGTCTAAAGCATCACGTCGATTCACGCGTTGACTCACACGTAGTGGCGCGCATCTTGCCAAGGCATGTTGCGTGCGAGCACCTCGGTCCGCAACTCGCACCACCGTGCGCCCGGTCGCTTTGCGAGGATTAACCGTTTGAGTTACGTGGAGAAACGGCGGTACGAGGGCATGTAGAGTCGACAACGGCTGGTTCAGCGATACTTGTAGCATTTGCGTAAGAGAGGCGACGCGACCATTGCTGGCACGTTTAAAACTGTGCGACACGGTCAGGGCAGTTATACCTGCGCCGTGCTAATACAAACTTGGTCATATCGCTCGAAACAGAATCGCGTAGGGTCTGATGGGAGGCGGATGTGCGCCAACGAACTAGACTGGCCGCGCCTCGTGCAATGTGAGACTGATTTCGTGCCACACCTCCGCTTTAGGTTTGCAGCCATTGCTTCAGCGTCAGATGCAGCAGCTGGAGCGACTTACGTGCCTGGCCTGAGTCAGTCATAGAGCAGATCGTACAAGTGGTAGCTCGTAGGAAGGGGACTGTGTCCGCTGAGTCATGGGGGGTCGTAGCAACGAGGGCGTGTTTTTAAAGCACAGCTGCATTTATGTTTCATGATATAGCCACGTCGCAGATTATGTTACACACCTGAAATCGTCTCGACAGTGCACCAAACTCTGAACTGGCGTCGCTTTGTGGAATTAGCACTGCACGAAGTACAACTGTGTAAAAGGTCTGATGGCTCTAAAGCAACTGCGGAGCAGAAAACTGCGGCCAATGTCGACTAAAGAAATCTGATCTACGCAGTTTCGAAAGCGGAAAATAAATGTTTTTCTCCACATTAATTATAACACTGGTCAACACCTTTCCTGTTCTGTGGAGCCAAATGAGACTGCTCAAATTCGAAGTCGACACGCACAAGTATTGTCTTTCCTGACCGAATTGCACAGTGAGGTTACACTCGGGCAGGAGTCTGTATGTCTCTGCCACCTCTGCACTCGCCCCAGACCATGACGATGCGCGTGAACGTTTACTGTTTCATTTTCCAACTGCCAATTTTCACAGCGAGGATGCGGCTGTTGCCGCTGAACACACAGGACTGAAACAGTAAGCAATTACATTGGGGCCATTTCCGTCGCATGTTATCACACCACCTCTGCGTCAGCGGAGTTTCAACCAGTGACAATGAAGGCAGCATTCCCATCCCGATGTCACATGCGGCGACTCGTTCTTTGTGGTCGACCACTGTCCAGCTCACATTGTGTGCCAATCCCGTATCCGCAAATGTAACCGACTTTGCTTCCAAGTTGTGGATTCAACGGTCTGTTACTTGGTACACATGATGTCCACCGTACGCCTTGCCCGTAGCCAAACGCAATCGGTTTAGCCTGCCCGTTTGCTCTGTTATATGGGCAGTATCCGTTTCGTCAGAGTCCCAAAAGTCACCAAGTGGAACGATTTTACTGAGCGCACAACGAGGCGACCATACAGATGCATGTACTTATTGACCAGAATTCTGAATTTTGAAATATCTTGTTACAAAATGCCTTTCGCACGTGCACAAAGGTTACCGTTTTGATGTTTTGCGGGGAAGGTTTGAGTGGCATATTCTGGCGAGCCATTGTTTACAAAGTTACCCTGTATTAAATTATGGCGCTTTCAAGCGAGAGTGAGTTTCTCTGGTGAAGCACCAAAGTGGTGGTTGGCGGGTGTGATGTTGAGTGAGTTTCTGTGGTTTGGTTTGGCCCCTTTTATACTCTGTGAAATGTAGGGAGGGTTTGGAGTCGCATTTCATTTCCATGTGTTTGGTCCGTGTTCTATATATTTATAACATTACGAACTGAAGGTTCGTGTAGCAAAAATAACTGCTGCGTGGTTTGTGGGAATTTGTTTTCGAGTTTGTTCATTGGCTGGTTGTCGGATGTTGAGAACGATCACTGGCATCAGGACATCGCGACTCCATTTCGCTGCCAAGTCAGCGTTCAGTTTCATGCGGCGATGCTCAAGCCACAAAAAAACCCAGCAAGGCGTGCGCACCTTTGCGAGCTCAACGAAATGCTCGTTAAGCTTCACCGGAGCGCTATTTCGAGCGCGGCTGGAAGTTTGTGGCAAAAACGGCTGCGGCGCACATCTTTCGTCTTGTGCCGCATGTTCGTCACCGCTGTCATGATGACGCTGCACTGCTGGCTCTGTTCATGGCCCACGTTGAGTGAGCCGTTGCCAGTGTGCCAACGCTAATGGGCGGTGCTTTATGATTGGGCCACGTATTGAGCTGGGTTTTAGGTGTGCTCCAGGTGTATAGGTTTCTTTAATGTGGCGCAGAAAATTGCCATCTGCGACTACTCGAGCAAGCATTCAACCTAGCGCCACTCTGACGTTGCATAGCGGTGTTGTACCAGATACGGCCTATGGTCTAATGCAAGCACAATCTCCTCGATTATCAAAGGCGAACCATGTTGGAAGGCACTTGGGCCTGAGAGCACCATGCATACAGGACTCAGAAACGCCTTCTTGGCGACGCTACGAAACCACACCTTCATCAAGGATGCGACGCCAGGCAAGAAAGCAACCATAGAGAGACTTGTTGTGGCTTTACTCATGAGCGCCGACAGGTCGAAGGTGTTCAAGACTCTGATCGTCCATCACTATGTGTGCCCATGCGGCCTTGCACGCTATAACTTCAACCCCGCCACATATTGTACCTTAACCCCTAATGCGAAAGGCTGGATGATCGCCGATGTGAGTCGAGCGTCGTCGCCCACTCTCGTCTCTAATGTCTGGCGTATTTATTACGACCACTACCTTTGCCTCTCTGTCTGTCCCTGTAAACCCCCGTGGAGTTCTTCACTGCATACTTTGAGCACATCAATACGTGATGCATGCCGGATGGTCGCTGCTCCTTTGGTGATGGTGGAGAATATGTCCAGCCATGCTCCGAACACGCCTCACGCTACAACCGCCGACATCTGCGCCTTTCGGACCCGAGCGCTCTCGCATCTCCGCCTTTTCTACCTGCCGCCAAAACATGCCGCCCTTCACCACACATTGAAGCACACTACGGAAACCGTGCGACGTGCCTACGTGGACATGGGCGGTGCATATCACAGGCTCCCCGCCCCTCTACAATACAGAAGCGACGAAATTCCGACAACTTGGAAATCGTTTTGAACGCTTTTGCCTGTATCCTATTTTCGTGGAGCTTGCACAACTAGAATATGACCTGCATGGTAGTATCTACGATGAGCTGTTCCTACCTCCCATGCAAAAGGAGTGGTATTTTTCCAGATTGTTAATGTACGACATGTCTTGTATTCATGAAAGTGACAATCGAGCCGTAACACTTAACGAGTCCAAACTTAACGCGCAGAACACGCAGTGCAACGGTAGTTGACCGTTGACCAGCAGTCGAACTGAGAGAAGTCCAAGGATCTGTCATGCCAGCAAAGACACATATCTGTCAACTTATACATTTGTTATGTGTGTCTAGTTGTAGGCTGCTGCGATAAGGAAATTGTTGCATTCTTGAAGTTGACACTTAAGTCCAAGCCTGTGACGCGAGGTACGAAATGCATCGCTCATTGTCACGTTGACAGACAGGCGAACCGACAGAAGTGGAAGGGTCCGTCATGACAACAGGTACACATAACTGACCCTGTAATACCGCGCATGCAGTTACCCGTATCGTGTGCAGTTACCGGAGTCGGGTCTGGAAACCTCATATGGAATGTAACCCAGTGAGTGCATCTAAGTTAGGCCCTACGCATTCTGTTGTCTCACTATATCAACAATGTATCCCCTTTGTACATTAAACCGTGATAAGTTACAACCACTCCATCATGGTTCCCTAACCAGCCAATTAATTCCCTTCTGCAGTTCAATCCCTAAGATCCTACATGTTATACGGGATAGCTCTGCTTTTCTGGTTAGTCGTGTAGGTATCTGGGTCACTTCCCAACCGTGGTTACACTATGGCTTTTTCCCGCAGAGACGTGTCACAATACCACATAATCTTTAACCCAGTGTATCGTGCGAGCCACCGGATTCGTTTTAGGCCGTCCTTGATGATTAGTGTCCATCTACGTGAAGTTATCGCGATAGGAGAATTTATTTGCGGTGGCATGCGTAACCGTTTGTGTGCATGGTTTATCCCCTTTGTTGCCTGCCATTGGCAAAGCAACAGAGTTTACGTGCCCAGGAAATACATGAACGTTTACGAACCCACTAGCATGTATAGGGGCAGAGTCTAGAAAGCCAGCAATACTACACCGATCACCGAGACAAGGGCCTGTAAGCCAATGTGCAAGTGTTATTACGGAACAGGTATTAAACATAACATACAACGACCGATATAGAACAACTCTAAATACAACCAAGCCAGGCAACAGGAACTAGACCAAGCTGTGTGCGAAACCGCTTATGGTGACTAGGCCTAAAAGACTTGGTGAAGATATCTGTTCTGTTGGCCGCTAAGGCCAACTCGACCAAGCGGGCCTTAACGCGGTGTTGCAACTCTCGTAGCAGAAAGCACTGCAGTTCGATGCGCACGGCACTGGATGTGCAAGTCGAGTCTCGGTGCGGTTGTGATTGATCGATACTTCCAAGCACCCGTTGGAAGCTGATCGATATCCGTTACACTAACAAGACATGTGAAACACTGTAAACCTCATGCAACGTGATGAAACCATGATATGTCAACTTAATGTAAGCTTAGACTACCTCCTACGCTACGTGGCAAATAAATCGTGTAAACATGCAAGTCGGAGCATGTCACATAAATATAAG